GAGGCGAGAAAAAGAAAAAAGAGAGAGAGAGAAAAGAAAGAAAAGGAAGGAAGGAGAGAGAGAAAGAAAGAAAAAAGAGAGAGAGAAAAGAAAGAAAAGGAAGGAAGGGAGGGAGGGAGGGAGGGAAAGAGAAAGAAAAAGAAAAGAAAAGAAAAAAGAAAAGAAAAGAAAAGAGAAAAGAAAAGAAAGAAAAAAGAAAAAAAGAAGGAAGAAAGAAGAAGAAGAAAAGAGAAGAGGAGGAAGGGGAGAAGAGGAAGAATAAGAGGAAGAGGAAGAAGTGGAGGAGGAGGAAGAAGAGGAAGAACAAGAGGAAGAGGAAGAGGAAAAGGGGGTAAGGAAGGGGAGGAGGAGGAGAAAAAGCTTTCTGACGTGCTGTTTTATATGATTGAATGCAACCTGGGTTTTCATTAAAAAGGTTCCAAACATACATTTTGTGGAATCTAAGAAATTACATTTCTAGCCCATTGAGCCCTTACAAGAATATACAAATATCCAACCCTAAGACCTAAAATCAAGCAATGTGTGAAAAAGCTTTGTGATGTGCTGTTTTATATCACTTAATGAAACCTGTGCTTTATTAAACAGGTTCCAAACACACATTTAGTTGAATATAAGAAATGACATTTCAGAGATGATTAGCCCTATGTAAGAAAAAAAAAGGGAAAAAGAAAAATAAATTCTAGAAACAGACAAAAAAATTTAAGCACAGAAATTTAAAACTCAATGGAGTCAGGAAGAAACCCCTGAAATTACGGTAACTGAACAATTACTTGAGGATGATCCAGAACCTTATCAGCCTTCATATGGATCTGCTGCCCATTTTCTACTTATCTAGTGAGTCTGAGATCTCAGATCCCAAATTTAAATTAAAATTGTCCTGGACTAGCAATGATCCCAAGCCAACGAAAAAAATAACAGATGAAAACCCTTCTAGAAAGATATAATCCTGCTAAGCATCAATATAGTCCATAAATAACTTTCCAAACACAATCTCCAGCATACAACAGTAACAAAGCACACCAGGAAATGAAACTCCATGAATAAAAACCATATACATAAGGACAAAAAAGTATCAAGATTGAAAAAGAAGAACAAAAATTTTCTCTTTGCAGATTATGTGATTTAGTATACTTAGAAAATCCAGAAGAATTCACAATAAATTATTAAAACTACTGGCCTAATTGAGTAAGGTTTCTGGATTCGAATATAGAAAAACTAATTGTATTTCTATATTCCAGCAACAAAATTCAGTAATGGAATTTTTTTAAGCTACTATTTATAATACAATCAAAACTATCAAGGATGTAGCAATAAGTTTCTAACAAAATATACGCAAGGCCTTTACCAACAAAAATATAAAATCTTACTGAGAGAAACTGGAGACTAATTAATTAACATACATATCTCTAAACATCAACCAGAAAACTTAACATTGTAAATGTTTCAAATCTCTTCAGATTGACCTATAGATTCAATACAATCCCAAACAAAATCACAATAGCTTTTGTATATGCCTCTGAGTGTGGAAATTTATAAGCTGGTTCTAAAATGTATAAGAACGTGCAAAGGGCCAAGAAGAGCCAGGACAGAAATAACAACAACAACAAAAAAGAGACAATGTAATAGAAAAATGAGCAAAAGACATTAACAGGCACTTTACAAATGAGAAACTTCAAAGAGTCAAAAAATATATTAAAAGATGCTCAACCTCCTTAGTCATCAGGATTTGAAACCATGATGGAAACCTAAATGACATATCGTTACATGACAATTAGAATGGTTAAAATATAAAAATGGCCAGATATGGGAGTTGGCTTCTGTAATCCCAGCCACTTGGGAGGCTGAGGCAGTTCAATTGCTTGAGGCCAAGAGTTTGAGACTAGTCTGGGCAACTAAGTGAAACCTCCATCTCTCACAGGGTCTTGCTTGTTCACCCAGGCTGGAGTGCAATGGTATGATCACGACTCACTGTAGCCTCAACCTCCTGAGTAATAGGGACTACAGACACGAACCACCATGCCCAGCTACTCATTTTTAAATTTTTTTAATATTATTTTATTTCTTCTTATAGAGATGGGATCTCCCTATGTTGGCTGGTCTCAAACTCCTGGGCTCAAGGGATCCTCCCAATTTGGCCCCTCAAAGTATCAGAATTACAGGTGTGAGCCATCATGACTGGCCATTTTTTTAATTTTGTATAGAGACGGGGACTTATTATGTTACTTAGGCTGGCTTCAACTCCCTGGAATCAAGTGATTCTCCCACCTTGGCCTCCCAGTGTGCTAAGATTACAGGCATAAACCATGATATGCCCAACCTAAAAAAAAAAATTCTTTTAATTAGCTGGGTGTGATGGTGTGA